TCTATTCTGTTGTTGTTGTTGGTTGTTGTTGTTATGTGCCGTCGAGTCGCCCCAACTCATAGCGACCCCTCCTTGGGTTTCTGAGGCAGTATCAACTACAAAAGTAGGATTGCCCAACCTTCCTTCTGAGGAGTGGCTGGTGGGTTTGAACCGCCAGCCTTCTGGTTAGCAGTCAAGTGCTTTAGCCACTATGCTACTAGAGCTCCTATTTAGAGCTAGGCACATATAATAAAGAACCTGAAAGAACATGTTTAGCTTGAGAAATTTAGCTCTAAAGAATAGCATTTGTTGTAGGGTACATTGAGTTATCTTTTACTCATAGTGACCCCATGTGACACAGTAGAACTGCCCTATAGAGTTTTCTTGGCTGTTACCTTTATGGTGGCAGATCACCAGGTCTTGCTTCTGCAAAACCACTGGGTGAATTAGAACCACCAGGCTTTTGGTTAGCAACTAAATGCTTAACCTTTGCACCACCAAGACTCTTTAAAGAATAGCATCTAAGAACTATTAATAGAGAGGGAAGATTTCATTTTGTAGTAGGCGAGTTCTTCTTCAAGGGCTGTTAGAATTTTCTTCAGGAGCTTGTCTTGGCTTGGTTTATCTATATTTCTAACACTTAAAAATTACAGTTACAATGTAAAGTATAGTATTTAGGAAGAAATAAATGGTTGTCTCTCAGGTCCCTCTTAGTAAAGCTTATTCTGTAGGATAATTTAGAAAGAAAGGTTCCATTGACATACATAATAGCTAATCTACTTTAGAAGTTAACCTTACAAGGAGTTCTAGTGGTGCTGTAGTTAAGGCATTGGACTGCTGACCAGAGGTAAGCAGTTTGAACCTACCAGCTGCTCCCTGGGAGGAAGGTGAGGCAGTCTACTTCCGTAAAGATTTACAGGCTTGGAAACCTGAAGGGGGTTTTAGTTTTACAACCTACCTTGTTGATAGGTTAAAATAGGTTGAGTACTTAAGTCACTTAGAGCAGTTTGTATATTTTATTTTGACATCATGCCCCAGGCAGATAAGGAATAGGGATTATCTTCCCTCACATTACCACCTTATTTCTTTATAGGCAGACAGGTTCAGAAAGACTGGCTAATAGTCGTCAGTCTGTATTTGACTTGACTGGTCACAAAAGCAGAATTTCATGACTTGTGATAACTTTGTTATTACCCATAAATCATTTGCTGTTCTTTGACCTCCTTTATTCAGAAAGTTCTTCCGGAGTTTCCAGCCTTTTACTCCAACCCCAGCCTGTTCCAGGCCCGGAAAAAGAGAATGTCCGGACTGTGGTGAGGACGGTAACTCTGTCCAGCAAACAAGGTGAGATATGGGTAGGTTTTAGAATTGTCAGACTACCACTTTTATGTAACTGGGAAAGCACAATCCTTGGGATTTCTGTCTTTGATGAATATGCACATAAATTTTAGTATATTGGAGTTCCGGCAAGATGGTGGACTAGGCAGAAGGATTGCACAGACCCTCTTCAACAAAGAAAAGGGAAACCAATTAACACAGACACAGAAGATAATCGTGGAACCCTGAGCCTTGAAG